TACAACATCTGTGGAGGAGCAGGGTTCAAGAGAAAATTCCCAATTTACTGTGAATGTGTGAGCTAACATCATCTTACTCCACATTTCTGTTCCCTATAAGTCTGACTCTAGCCATGTGCTTCACAAGCAAAAATAAATTGTATTCCTCTTAGCACAGTAGAGCCATTAGAGCTATCGAAGAACAACCTGGGCTCTAATTTAACAACATCTGTGGAGGAGCAGGGTTCAAGAGAAAATTCCCAATTTACTGTGAATGTGTGAGCTAACATCATCTTACTCCACATTTCTGTTCCCTATAAGTCTGACTCTAGCCATGTGCTTCACAAGCAAAAATAAATTGTATTCCTCTTAGCACAGTAGAGCCATTAGAGCTATCGAAGAACAACCTGGGCTCTAATTTACTTCAGGCTTCCTTAATGAACTTACACTTAATCTCGCTTTTTTAAAAATGTGGATTTAGTATTCATGAAAGGGGCAGTATTTGATAGGCTTGGTGCCATAGATGTAGATTCAGAGGGTGCATCTAGACTGGCAAGATTTTGTGAAAAGCGGCCGCTTTTGTGTAAAAACTTGCCAGCTGTCTATACTGGCTGCTTGAATTTGCGCAAGAGCACTGACTTTGTAATGTACAAAATCAGTGCTTCTTGAGCAAATACTTCACGCTTCCGCTCAGGAAAAAGCCCTCTTGCACAAGTATTCTTGCGCAAGAGGGCCAGTATAGACAGGGAAGAATTGTTTTGCGCAAAAAAGCCCCAATGGCTAAAATGGCGATCAGGGCTTTCTTGCGCAAAATCGCATCTAGACTGGCCACGGATGCTTTTGCGCAAAAGCACTTTTTGCGCAAAAGCATCCTTGCCAATCTAGATGCTCTTTTGTGGAAATACTTTTAACGGAAAAACTTTTCCGTTAAAAGTATTTCCTCAAAATCATGCCAGTCTAGGAGTATCCATAGAGTTCAGGCCAGAAGGGGTCATCTGATCATCTAGTCAGAACTCCTGTATATCACAGACCACCAAAAAGCATTCATCCTTCCCCTGAAGTTCAATGCTAAGCTTGACTAGCAGATTTAGACCACAGTATTTAAGGCCACAGGAAACTAAACAATTGTATGCCATAGTCTGAGAGCAGGAGGGACTGAGGTACCTCAAAGCCTGAGGCCTGTACAAGTGGCAGGTAATTGATTCAGTGAGAGAGACCCAGATGATAGCAAGTGATTTAAGTCCTTTATATTAGACACACAACTGCATTGTCTCATCAGTGTGCCTCAAACTTTGACTGGGATGGTTTATCCTAGAGGTAAAAAAGTTTAGCCTTCATATTTATTAATTCCTTTGTCCTCTGTAGTGACAGTCACCAAGGATGTCAACTGTAAGGAACTACATTGAAACTACTACCTAAACTAACCAAGTAGACTTGCAATAGTAGTAGCTTTTGGCTACTGTCTATTTGGGCTTGTCTTGAAACAGTGACAGTGATAAGGGCTCTATATCAGAATCTTTATTACTGGTGGTTAGGTGAGAAAAAACACAGCTTCATTTTTCAAATTCTAGGTTGATTGAGCAAGGATGCCTGTAAGACAAACAATTCTTTGTCTTCAAAATTGGACATATTTGATCAGTGACACTGCTCAAATATGGAACCCGAAGGTGTAACTTTTACAGCCAGCTTTATTTTTATTAAAACTGCACTTTAGGCCTCTTCTGATGATGACTTATTACAGAACCCAAATCTCCGTGTTGATTAGTAACTTGGAATGTGGCCCCTGAATTAGATTTAAGATTCATAGTCCCTATTCTTGCCTTGGTTACAATGGTGCTAATGAAGTCAATGGACTTATTGTGGGATTTATACTTGTACAAGTAGGATCAGAAATTGGCCCTCAGAGTTTACATAAGGCTTTAATTGTTCATATTTTTCTTTTTCCAGTTACAGCACAAATCTCTGATCTAAGAATAATATGTACTGTTACTGGAGTCGTATTATATGGGCCATTAAGTGTGGTAAACACAATACAGAAGAAATAAATTTAGCTTTGTTCAAACTAAGCTGAATAAATTATGCATTTTAACAGCTTGGACCATGTGCTTGAAACATTTTTGGCAGCCTTCATAGCAATTGTAAAAACTGATAATTATGGAGTAGACATAGAACAAATAGTAAAAAAGGAAACCAGAGTCTTAAACAACACAGAAATTAATCACAAAATAAAGATGGCCTTCAAATAACCCAGTGCAAGCACTTGGGGGGGAAAGAGGTTCATTACAGATTCAATGTGTTTACATGTCTATGATATCCAAAAAGGTTGGGCCAGAAAGGGGTGGAAGGGCAGATCCCTTAATGAAACATCATTTTTTTAGTTTTATATACTGAGCTAGAAAAACATTTTGAGAGATTTCATTTTGACACTGCATTGATTTGAGCAATCTGCCATATTTCAAGCATGGACATTCTCTTTTAAAGAATGGCTTTAATAAAGAAAAATGTCTTTTTTTTGCTAACAATTATTTAACACCTTGTGCAGTGTACTTAACAGGCACAATTCTGCAGAGGGTACATATACTGATCTCCCACTACTATGAATATGAGTGCTGTATGTCGAGCTACTGCAGGGTGGAGAGCCTTTGCTGTTTGCAAACACAATACACAATTTACCATCAGCCAGGTAAGGCTCTGTGTTTTTTAAGTTAGTGACATAATTCACTCACTATGTACCATGCAGTGAATGATCCTCCAAGAGTTTCAATCACCAGAAAGTCCAAATAGAGAGAGTAGGGAGGAAAAATAATTTAAAATTGTTTTCCTATGTTGTATTTTCTATCACATTTGTGAAAGATGCAGCTTCATATTTTTAACTTCTGATGAGAAAAATATAAATTGAAAAGACTGTAATTCCACTGAGGATGGGGAAAGAGAGAAAAAGGTTTGCATCCCATGTACTGTTAGTATAATAATGGAATCTTCTAACATCCCACACTGCAGTCTCCCCTTTTTTCACTAAATATTTAGTTTCCTTTGATTAACACACAGTAAAACATCCATCAAAAGAAGTCTCATGTCTAGCTAAAGATCTTAGACTTACCTGTGCAGTGTAGAAAACTGCAGAAAATTAGTAATAGTAGTGCCAAAAGCATGGTGTTTGCCTTGAGTGGAAAGTTTCTTTTTCAGGGCTCTCCGCCCCTACCTGCTCAAAAGGGGCAGTGCTGCTGCTGCCACCTTCAAGCCTTGCCTTTTCAAGCTTGGATGCTTTATATATAGAAGGACAAAGCCCTCCCTCATTCCCATGGACTTCAGAAATTGCAACAGCTGGAAAAGTGGAGTAACCGCCAAACAGGATCTTCCACCTTATCAGGCTAAACACACCTAAATGCCATTTATAAAAGAAGAAGAAAAAACCCTCCGACATCACTTCTCCAATTCATTATCATTTTTCCAAGGGCAGTTTAATGGATGCTTTGCAACAGTTCAAACACATTTAACTATATCTATTGTACAAATTTGGTATCACGTCGAAAAAATACAGATTGGTAGTGTGTAAACTGTGATTGTACCAGATAAAGAGAAGAGTAATGTTGGGATCAATAACCCAAAGGCAAATAAGAGGTAGGGTGAATTTGAATGGGTGCAGAGAAGTATGGAGAAAAGTGCTATTGTATGAGTGAATAGTATAGCTCTCAGACCTTCTAATCAACTCTTCTTTCTTTCTTTCTTTCTTTCTTTCTTTCTTTCTTTCTTTCTTTCTTTCTTTCTTTCTGTCTGTCTGTCTGTCTGTCTGTCTGTCTGTCTGTCTGTCTGTCTGTCTGTCTGTCTGTCTGTCTGTCTGTCTGTCTGTCTGTCTGTCTGTCTGTCTGTCTGTCTGTCTGTCTGTCTGAATGGCCTTATTCATCCTTTCTTTGACTGACTTCTCCAGCAAAATGATGTGAAACTTTTCCTCAACAAAATTGATAGCAGTTTCCTCTTGAGGGATGGGGGAGTTTCAATTAGCTCTGGATATCCGATTTTCATTTGTACTGATATTAGTTTCCATGCTGGGCTGTCCCATTGTAATACTTTTTCGCACTCCTTCTAGAAGTGATCCCTTCAGCCAGAATTGAGGCATGTGAAGTAGATCAAGCATGTTATGAGTCAACAGTGTGTCCTTATTTCCAAGAAAGCTAACAGCATATTGGGCTGCATTAGTAGAAGCATTGCTAGCAAATTGAAGGAAGTGATTATTCCCCTATATTCGGTACTAGTGAGGCTACTACTGGCCTATTGAATCCAGTTTTGGATCTCTCACTACAGAAAGGATGTGAACAAATTGGAGGGAGCCCGGCAGAAGGGAAAAAATGATTAGGGGGATGGAGCACATGACTTTAAGTCCTTTTTGTTCAGCCTTTCCTCTAAATAGAAGAGAAGAATGAGGGGGAATTTGATAGCTGGAGGGGAAGGGGTTTCAAAGAGGGTGGAGCCAGGCTATTCTTGTTAATGGTGGCAGATGACAGATCAAGGAGAAATAGTCTCATGTTGCAGTGGGGGAGGTCTAGGTTGTATATAAGAAAAACCCTTTTCACTAGAAGGGTGGTGAAGCACTGGAATGGGTTACCTAGGGAGATGGTGGAATCTCCATCCTTAGAGGTTTTGAAGGCCAGGCTTGACAAAGCCATGGTTGGGATGATTTAGTTGGAATTGGTCTTGCTTTGATCAGGGGGTTGAACTAGATGACCTCCTGTGGTGTCTTCCAACTTTAATCTTCGATGATTCTGTGCAATTTTGGACCAATTCTATGCATAGAGGACTTAAGTCTTCATGGTGGTTGACATCTTTGAGACAAGAAGTAGTAGAATTAAGCTAGGTATTTTCTTCCATTATAACAATACTAAAAGATTTCCCTGCCATTTCTTGGGTCCTTATCTGAAATATTTTTTGTTTTTCTTCATGTATATCATTGCTGTGGTGTGTGGCTATGGATGAGGGTCTCAGTATGCAGACTATCCTGGGGAAAGAGGACAACCTCAGCCCCCTCTCACTGCAACAGCTTAGGGCCAGGTGAGAAGCACCTCTCTATGATCGCTGCAGTTGCAGTGGACACACCCGGGAGAAGGGTTCATGTCCCCTGGCTAGGGAATAGAAAGACGTATAGACACTTAAACTCTCCCAGATACATAGTAGATAGCTGTCCCTTTCTCCACCCCTGCTGCTCCAATGAGAGTCTAAGGATACGTCTAGACTACATGCTTCTGTCGCCAGAGGCATGTAGATTAGGCTACCAGGCATAGGAAAATGAAGCGGCGATTATTTAAATCACCGCTTCATTTTCCTGTGCCTAGTAGCCTAATCTACATGCCTCTGTCGCCAGAGGCATGTAGATTAGGCTACCAGGCATAGGAAAATGAAGCGGTGATTTAAATAATCGCCGCTTCATTTACATTTACATGTCTGCCACGATGAGCCGATCAGATGTTTGTCGGCTCAGCGCGGTAGTCTGGACGCGCGGGTGTCGACATCAAAGGCATTTGTTGACCACCCAGGTATGCTTCCTGGGATGAGGTTCACCTGGGTGGTCGACAAATGCCTTTGATGTCGACACCCGCGCGTCCAGACTACCGCGCTGAACCGACAAACATCTGATCAGCTCCGCGCAGCAGCCATGGAAATGTAAATGAAGCGGCGATTATTTAAATCGCCGCTTCATTTTCCTGTGCCTAGTAGCCTAATCTACATGCCTCTGGCGACAGAGGCATGTAGTCTAGACGTACCCTAACTGTCCTGGTGCCAGCTCAGACTCACTGACAGACAAACCCTCTCAAATATATAGTAGATGATATATAAAAAGGTGCCTTTCACTGTGAAAATACCACATTTATGGGTAACTTCTCCATATGCATTCTTCTCGGCATCTTTTTTTTATATATATGTAGATCACACCTTCAGTGGCTTCTCATGTTGTTCTCAACAGGCTGATGGGCAAAAGCAGTGCAGGCATTATTTTTAGTGGAATATTGTTGCTTTCATTGTCTCCATTGCTCCCCTCCATTCCTTACATTCATGCACCACTGTAGTATTTTGTTCAGTAGTATTTTGTCAACATTTAAAAAAGAAAGAGTAGGTGTCCTGGCCTAGTAATCTGTCCATGTTTCCTTTTAATCACAATTGCACTCACCTGCTGGCATCTTCAATGAAGGCTCTCTTCTTTTGGCTGATTACAGGATTAGACTCCCTGACAAAGAGTGGAATATATGTAGGACCACTGGAAGTACATCCACACTGATATACTTACCACAAGGAGTTCTAAGCACAGATGACTTGTATTCTTTGCTTTAAGCATAATATCAGAAGTTCTGTTTCACTTGCCCCTCCAGTATGGAACATGGGTAGCTTGCAAGGATAATTTAGTGTTTTCTCACTATGTTAAGTATCTTCTATTACAGGGTTCTTGGGCATTAGTGCATCTCAGTCCCTCCTGTTCTCTGTGTGTGGCATACAATATATTAGTCCCCCAGGGATCATAATCTTGATCAAATTCTGATTGTTGGGCTTGGTATTGGTGTGACTATATATCCAGGAGGTCAGACTGGGTGATCTGTTGGAGCATTCTGGCCTCAGACTCTGAATACATCTACACTGCATGGCTATTTTGGAATATCAGAGGTATCCCAAAAATGCTACCCCATGTATACACAAGCTGCCCCTTATTTCAAAATATTTTTTGAAATAACGGGTGTGCTATTTCGCCATCCTGGTAAACCTCATTACATGGGTGAGCTTGAAGGCTTGAAATAGCATGGCTTGAAATAGCATGTTATTGAAGGGATGGCTTGAAATAGCATGTTATTTTGAAATTTGGCGCTGTGTAAACATGCCAAATTTCAAAATAAGCTATTATGAAATAGATTCAAAATAAGATATGCAATTTGTGTGGCACAAATTACATATCTTATTTCGAGTTTAGGGTGCTGTGTAGACACACCCTTTGTGACAAAGTTGTGCATTCCTACACCATGGAGAGACTGTTCTCTATACTTCACCAACAGGTGCATATGGTTACTCATTATGAGTGTATCTGGACCCAAGCAAATCTGGGTAGATTTGTAGTAGTAATGCAAAAATAAGTGTTATCTGGTGATTTGCTTTTATGGTTATTTTTTATCAATAGAAAAGATATAAACTAAGTAAAAATCAATAGGAAGATAAATTTAAAAATACCTCAGTAAGAAAAAAAGCTTAAAACAGGAAGAGAAATTCCTGAAGACTAATTTTTCAGAGATAGTAACTGGAGCTGATGGGAAGGTGGTTTTTTTTCTCCACAACACCCTTTTTTTTTTTTTTTTTTTTGAAAAGCTTATTTGTCTTTTCAACATCTGAAAACCAAAACATTTTTGGCCAAATCCTAAAATATTCAGCTGAAAAATCTCTGGGTGTGGGTTTCCAATTAAAAAATCTAATACTTTTTGCAGAAATGTTTTTAAGAAAAAAAATCTAATTTTCTATAGAAAAAAAATTGATAGAAAATTGTTGAACAGCTGCTAATACTGATGACTAGCAAAGAGTTGTGGTTACTCAGCACATTTAAAAATCCAACCCGTGATTTTTTTAGTGACAAGTTTTGAATGATGTTTTTCATTTCTGTGTGTGTATCTTTACATTCTGGCTATCATTGGCTGTTCTTAATGTTATACATTATATGCTAACATAATGAATATTACATTGTGTATAAGATACCTCTTTTCTGAGCTATCTAGCTGTTTCATAAATCTTCCTTTTATGATTTATGCAAAAATAAGTGTTTCCTAGTTATTTGCTTTTATGGTTATTTTTCATCAATAGAAAAGATATAAACTAAGTAAAAATCAATAGGAAGATAAATTTAAAAATACCTCAGTAAGAAAAAAAAAATGCTTAAGTCAGGAAGAGAAATTCCTGAAGGCTAATATTCCAGATTTTTATGAACTTTTATCCAGACGTTTTTATCTATTAATCCTTCCTGTTGTCCTAAAATCTTGTAATTTAATCTGGATTTTATTTGAAAATATAAATGAGAATATAAATTTAGGCCATCATTTTTAAAAAGTGATTCATAATGGTGAGTGTTCCTAGACGTGACATGCATTATTAAAGGCACTTGATTTAAAAAAGAGAGTGCTTATTACTCTCTGAAAAAGTGGGGCCTTTTTAAGGTACGTCAAAGTACATCCTCTTGTCTTTTAGAATTTAACCACACACTCA